AACAGTGATTTTGCCTCAGTCTCAAAACTAATGATTAACAACAAAATAGTAGATAATTCTTTAGATATTTCAAAATATGTTTCTCAGTTTTTTAGTAATTTGTATTCTTCCACAATGGCTACTTCCAATATTGATATTTTTTTAAATAACTTTATGAGTGATACCAAAAAAATAGATCAGAACTTCCAAAATGTGTGTGATAAAGAAATAGTTATTGAGGAGTTGAGAGAGTGCATTAACTTGCTAAAAAATAACAAATCTCCAGGCAATGACGGGCTAACAGGAGAGTTTTATAAGACATTTTCTAAAGAACTTTCACCCTTTTTATTATTAGTATATAGAAGCTATAGAAAAAGGTGAATTGCCTGCTTCATTAAAACAAGGGGTTATAACCCTGATTCCCAAACCTAGCAAGGACAAGTTACTTATTGAAAATTGGAGGTCTAGTTTGCTTAATAATGACAGTAAGTTGTTTGCAATGATTTTTGCTAGAAGAATGAAACAAGGTTTAGATCAAATCATTGATATGGAACAGTCTGGTTTTATGCAAGGCCGTCATATTAGGAATAATATTAGACTGATCTTAGATATGGTAGACTATAATAATTTTATTGAAGATGATAGTTTTATTTTATTTATTGATTTTTATAAAGCATTTGATACTGTAAATCATGATTTTATTTTCAAAGTTATTAAATTGTTAGGTTTTGGAGATGTATTTTTGAAAGCAGTCAAAACATTGTACAATGGTTGTAATAGTTCTGTCACACTTGCATTTGGTACTTCACAAAGGTTTGATATTCATTGTGGCATTAGGCAAGGATGCCCCCTCTCTCCTTCTTTATTTTTGTTGGTCACCCAGGTTTTGGCAATGCATGTAAAAAGAAATAAGTATAATGGTATCACAGCTTTAGGATTAGAATTTAAACTTAGCCAGTTTGCTGATGACACTGTAATTTTTTTGAAAAACAAATTCGAGGTACCAAAAATAATTAGATGTATTGAGGCATTCACTGCTGTATCTGGCCTTAAAATGAATTGTGATAAATCTGTATTGTTTCCCCTTAAATATTGCTCCTATACAGAAATAGAGAACATCCCAGTTAAACACCAATTAACATATCTAGGTATAGTAATTTGTAAAAATGAGAAACAAAGGAGTCAGTTAAATTTTGAACCAATTGTTGAGAGAACAAAAAATAAATTTAATTGGTGGTTAATGAGATATATATCAATAATTGGGAGGGTATTATTGTCAAAGGCGGAAGGTATATCTAGATCAGTATATACATCTTTATCATTAGATGTGCCTCCTAAGGTGATTAAGGGATAAGATACTTTATGACTTCATATGGAGAAAAAAAAACACATTATTTAAAAAAGGAGGTAATATGTAACACCAAAGAACAAGGGGGACTTGAGGTTTTAGATTATAATACACTTAATGACACTTTTAAAATTAAATGGTTGATAGAGTTTTTGAAGAATATAGAGAAAGTCTTTGGAACGTATTTCCAAATTATATATTTAAAACTCTTGGAGGCATAGATTTTTTGTTGAAATGTAATTTTTCTGCTGACAAAATTCCTGTAAAATTGGCCAGTTTTCACAGACAAGCCCTGCTAGCATGGAAATTGCTATATAAACACAATTTTTCACCACACAACTATTTCACATGGAATAACAAAGACATACTTTTTAAAAACAAATCACTATTCTATCACACTTGGTTCAATGAAGGGATTATATTAGTAAGACAATTGGTTAATATTTGTTATCATACTGAATTTCTACAAAAATTTAAATGACCAGTTAAACCAAGAGAGTTTGCTATTGTTCTTGACGCGATTCCAAAGAATGTGATTTTACTCTTAAAAAACGCTGATTCAGTGGAAATCAACATGGACAATATTTGTGGTAAAATTTTCATTGATAATGTTGATGTTTTACAACAAAAATGTAGCAATATGATTATAAGGAAAGCTCTTGGCTCGGTGTCTTTTCCTGCAGCAAGATTCTTTTGGTCTTCTTTATTTGGTGATATCTCTTGGGTTAAAGCATGGAAATTACCAAATAAGTTTTGTGTCAATAACAAAATTAAGGAAGTGTCTTACAAAATACTTCACAGAATTTATCCTGCTAAGCATGTCTTGGAAAGATTTAATCTTAATATTTCGTATACTTGTGAATTTTGTGCACTAGAGAAAGAAACAATTTTGCATCTGTTTTTTCACTGCATTTACTCAAGATTGTTTTGGAAAGATTTAGAAACCTTTATTAATAGAAAACTGAAGTGTATGATGGAAATTTGTGTTTTTGATGTGCTTTTTTATACTCAGAAAGACAATTTAGAATGTAAAGAACAGCATATTATACAGCTATTTATTTTATTAGGAAAATACCAAATACATAAGAATTTGATTTCCATTACACGAGAGTAGATGTTAAAACTTCATGCTGATTTGTACTCGGCTTTCGCCAAGATAAGCAAAACTAAGACGTAGCTTTACAGTAAACTATGCTTCTCCATCTATTTACGCTTCTTTCCATATGGTGGTGTGATTCCCCTTCTGTCCGGGGTTAACGACTGCAGTGTACTTGGCGCGTCAGCACACGCGACGGCTGCAACTACAGGACCAGCACGACAGCCGTCTGGATTGAGCCGAGTAGGGGACATCTCTAGGGTCTTCAAGTGGGCACCTTCCGTCCTCAGTGTTTCGTCGACTAGCCCACGACACCTCAAGAGGGCTCGACAGTGACTGGCGTCCCAGAGTCACCCCCCTCCGTCCCCCACTCAACTCAGTCCAGCTTACTGACCTCTACATCCCTCCTGCTGCTGAGACCTAACCACAATCTCACAATCTCTCCGCAACCCGACCATACGCGCCAACCCGTTTGACTAAAAAGCCTTGTTTAAACTCGACGCGTCCGCACGAGCGCGAGTCTCCGCTGACTGCGCGCGCACCTCTCCAAACGGACGAGGCGTTTATACTTGACGCGCTCGCCGTTGTGCTATTCTGTGAAACGACAGGGGGCGACTCGGAGTAATTCTCCTCTAAACCACCAGGAATCAGCAGTGAAGAAGTAGTTTGCCGTTTATTAGTAGTTTATTAATAGCTGATTCATATTAAAAGAGTAATAAATGCAGTAGGTGTATTGTACTTTCTTGTACAAACTCGTTAAACAACTGAAGCCTTATTGAAGAGTGTTTAAACCTTAATTTAATCAGCAGGGCTTACTTCTGCTATTGTAGGCTTATTTTATAAATGTAAGCAGTTATTTTAGACAAGTGCAAACTGGGTGCTTAATGCAAATGTGTTCCTATTCACAAAATGAGAGGCTTTTATGATCGCCCATCAATGCAAATGTCTCTGTGTATAGAAGGATCATAAACATGCTGGTACAGACGTAACAGTTCGGCCTGATTCGGCTCGAAGTCGTTCATCTTCGGATGCGGCGCCGCGCGCGATGTTACAAAAAGTGCCGTGCACACCGCCAGGCGAAATGGGGTCTTGCGCACCCAACGCGCACGACCGCCCATACCGCAATTGTGTCATTTTGCCGTGCGCACCTTCGCGCTCTTGCGGACGCGTCGAGTATAAACAAGGCTTAATTCACGCAATAACGTATACAAATAAATCAACAGACTCTTCAAGTTTTACGAAACCGTAGCGTGGCGGCCTGCACACAGCCAGCTAGAATCGAAAAGAATAGAATAGAAAAGAAGTGGGCTCAAGGTAAACCAAATTTTCCACATTTTATAAATGACTTTAAATTATATGTAGCCTACATCTTTTGGAACAAACTAAAAACAAAAAAGCAATGAAAACATGTAATGCTTTGCATTGCAATAACACTGGATTTTATGTAAAACATTATTATTATTATTATTATTATTTATTATTATTATTAATTCCTGGCAGTTAATGTAATATTGTGAATATGTGATACCTCTGTTCTTGTGGCATTGAATAAAAAAACCCTGTTACGACTTGAACCACTGAAACGATTATTTCATGATAACGCTCGTCACGTGACCCCCCCCCCCCCCCCCCCTCTTTCAGCCCCTCCTTCTAAAAAAAAAAAAACCGTTCCCGCTGCTACTTGAGGCGCGAAATTTTAAAACCAGGCGACCGTTAATCTGTTTGCTTCTGGAGGTGAGTAAAATGTATTTTTATACTAGATAAAATACTTAATTGTGTAAAGAATGGATGAATAAGTTTATAGTTAGGTAACACAAGTAACGTTAGCAATATTACAAAAGAAATGGATAGTTTATTCTAGGTAAATGCAGAGCAGGTGGTTAACTCACAGTAACAGCCGAGTGGTGAGAATCAAGTTACTTTTTATTAACAAATCCGTAAAAGCACTAAGTTACATAAAACATAAACAAGCTTTGTTATTGTACTTAATGTTTAACTATTTGTGTAAACTACTTAACGTTACCACAAAGGAGTCGAATTTGACGCCCTGGCGAATGTTACAGTGCCTATTTACATATAACAGCAAATCAACTCTGCTAGCAGCTAAGTTAGCACTACATGTTTAACGTTATAGCAAAGTAACTTAGTTCTAGAAGATCTTTACCTAACGTTACCTCAGTAAAAAAGTGTGTGTAAATCGCTCAAAGCAAATCATGTAAGTTATATTATACTTGTATGATGAACGTGATTTCCATCAGATTTGAGGGGCAAGTTTACAATTGTTATTAACTTTAGGCTTACAACAAGAGTTAGGTGCTATAGTGTATTTACTTTTTGTTGTTGTTATAATTTAAATATTATACTTAGCAATTTACTAATTTGCCAATAGTTACTTTGACCTAGGTAAATTTTTTTCTTTTTTCTTAATATTATTTTTTTTGAGTGGAAAGTGAAAGACATTAATTGAAACATCAGACATAGTGAAGACAGTCCACATTTTTCTTTTTACATTTTACAGCAAACAAAAGACCTAGGTTAATTTGGTTTATTTTCACAGTAATTATTGTTTTGTTGTATTATAAAGGCCTGTGAAAGCAGCCAGATGTTCTTCACTGAAGAGGTGACGCCGGGTTCGAGCTCTGAGCCCGGGCCGAGCAGCAGCACTCCAGGTAGGGTTTAACCACACTGACTTGCAATATTTATTTATGTCTCCAATAAAAGAGTGCAACAGCAAACTTTCACCGTGAATATATAAATACAAACAATAAATAAAAATGCATAGAGAGTACAAATGACCGCCAATAATGTTGGAGGGAACATATGGAGACAACAGTAAAAATCTAAATATTAATTTAATAATCTTTCTCCTTAGCTCAATGGCAGCTAAATATGAGAGGAAGAGCAGACAGGATCAGCTCTTCTGTGGGTTCATCTGGTGGTGGTTACAGTAACAGCCGAGCGGTGAGAATCCTTTACTTTTTTTTTTTAACTTTTTTTTTTTAACTTTTTTTTTTAACTTTTTTTTTATTTTAATTTTTTTATACAAATCCTTCATGTGTGATGCCCTGGCGAATGTAACAGTACCTACATTTAACCACTAGGTGGTGAAATAGCAAATCAACTCTAAATAGTAGATTATTATAGCAAAGTCCCTTTAAGTAGGATGGGGCAATTTGGAAAAATATCACGATTTTTTTCAGGAAAATCACTATTCATGATTTTATTACGATTCTTTTTTGTTTTTGTTTTACTATTTTGCAAGTGACTGAGCATTACAGCCAAACTAATTTCCCTATTTTAAAAACAATGCCTAGTCAGGGTATCCGCGGGGTCTTGAAAAGTATTAAAAGGTGATAAATCAATTTTGGGAAAATTAAGACCATTAAAAAGTATTAAAAAGTCTTATCACGGCTTTATAAAGTCTTAAATTTAAAAGTATTTTTTCTAGGGATGCACCGAATATTCGGCCGCCGAAAATAGCCCAAAAGTGCATTTTCGGTTTTCGGCCGAAAGACTTTTATCACCGAAACAATACGGCTGAAATGTTGTGATGACGCAAACAGAAACCGCGACCTGCACGTGCTTGTCTGAAGCAACATGTCTACGGTGTGGACGTATTTCAGTATATCTGAACCCGCGAGGAGACGGAAGCCTTGTTTATACTTTCGCCTGCCTCCGCAGCGCGAGTCTCCACAGACAGCGCGCGCACCTCTCCAAACGGTCGAGGCGTTTATACTTGACGCGCTCGCCGTTGTACTATTCTTTGAAACGACAGGGACGACTCAAGTAACTGTCCTCTAACCATCAGGAATCGGTGAGAAGAAGAAAGATAAACACGTGACAATGTTTATTTTTTAGTACCACCACCAATACAAAAATAATCATGTAAAACCCAGTAAACCCTGAGATTATTACTTGTGACATTACAACAAAATATGTATATGAATATGTACTAAATTAACGCTCTCTTAAATATTTTTTAATTTCACTAAACATATTTCATTAAGTTTCGTGTACATTTGTATTAAACATGGACCTTTGTTCATTAAAATGGCTTTTTATGCTAGTGTATGCTCATTTTTAAAATCTAATCAACTAATTTAGACGTGCAAACTGGGTGCTGGTGTGATGAGAAGTTCGTGCTCGGCTTTGTTTTTATGAGAGAACATTTCATTTTAAAACCTTTCTGCAGGCCAGCAGATTATTATTTAATGTACACATGAGTGGGGTCAAGTTAAACATTTTAGTTTGAATTTTATTTTATACTGTGCATTGTGCTAAATAAATATTTGCATAATTTGTAATTGATTTATTCTTTGAAAATGTTAATTTATGCAATTGCAATGCCTTGATTTTAGTAAAGTTTGTACACAGTCATAACCATAAATGCAATGGTACTTATAATTGGCATAATTTCTTTCGGTGTTTCGGTCTTCGTTTTTTCGGCCTTGGGTTCCTCTTTTTCGGTTTTCGGTTTCGGCCAAGAATTTTCATTTCTGTGCATCCCTATTTTTTTCTGAATTAGCTGTCCAACAGTTTGAGTCCCAAAAACATCGTAAAAGTGTGTGAATTTAGTCATTTTTATTTTATTTTTAAACGAAGAACTGAGGCACATGTCAGCATGATTGTTGTTGAGGGTGGAGCAAAGTTTTGTTTTGTTTTTTAATAAACTTTGCTTTGATTTACTATCCCAGCCTATTTGATTTTTTTTTTTTTTTATCAGAGTGGTCTATAGTCTTTATCACAAACTAAAACTGTTAAGTTAAAAGTATCACTGATGTAAATGGTTACAGCTTGAAGTGGCGGTGAGGTATTAAAAAATATTGAGAAGGTCTTGAAAAAGTCTTGAAAAGGTATTAAAATTAACTTCAAGATTCCTGCATATACCCTGAGTGGTGCGTTCACACCGGACGCGAATAGCGCGTCAGGCGCGAGTGATTTCAATGTTAAGTCAATGCTAAGACGCGTTACGCGCGTAAAAAATTCCTGCGGCGCGGTAGACGCGAATACGCCTCATTCGCGCGTCAAGTTCGCGCGAATGGCGCGAATTGAGCGTCTGGCGCGTTAAGCGCGTTACGCGCGAATGATTTAGTTAGTGCTATTTGTGCATTCACGCGTTTGACGCAAATTCGCGTCTGCCGCCCGAGTTGAAAAATCTGAACTTCTGCGTCAATTCGCGCCACGTTAACCAATCAGGAGCCTAGCTGCTTGCTGCTGTCACGTGGTGAAGTATCTGGATGCTTCAATAAATTATTTTGTAATATATGACTGTGGTTCTAATGCACAACAAAGCAAATATTTTATCACATAAAACTTGATTTCAATATATGAGACATACTCATTTTGTATTGAATGCTATTTATTCCATATCTAGATTATATGAAATATTATTATAATGTAAAGACAACCAACATATCAGTTCGTGTCTGGACAGTGATGTGTGAGAGAGAGAAAAAAATCACAGGACAGATTAATCACTTTTTGAGGCTGGCTTTATTTATTATCAAAACAAAAATAAATGACAGATTAGGTGGATGCGGGCGAAGGTAAACCTTGCGCCGGACTGTAGAGCGCGGGCTCGACAGGCATAGACCACTCGAGGCCGAGGGCTTATACGGCCTACGCTGTCCTCGTCAGCGTCCTCACCATTAGGTCCACCAAACCTAGCTCCTGGAGCAAATTGTGAAACTCCTGAAACCCTCCGGAGGCTCTGGTGGACCCGAGTACAGCGACGATGCCCCTACGCAGCTGTTTCTGCTCTCCAGAGCATATACGAGCGGTGACTCTCTCGAATAATGCTAATGCTAATGCTCGATAAACATCTAAAAAGATGGCCGCGAACGGGTTTCGAAACTTTCGCCTCTGGATTTCGCCTCTGACGCGCGTAAATTTCGCTTCAAACTTTTGTTTTTACGCGTGTCAATTTCGCCATTGACACGCGAATTAACACAAAGTGGTCAAGCGTCAAACTAGACGCGGTAGACGCGAATTTGACGCGCTATTCGCGTCCGGTGTGAACGCACAGTTACAAGGTATTAAAATATAAAATAAAAAAGAATGGCAGACATTTAGGCCAAAGTGACAGATAAAAAATCTTTGTCATTATTTTGTCTTAATTCAAAAATTAGAACAAAGATACACATTGCTGCAGCTCAGTATTTTTGCCACTTATTGGGCGTAACCGCAGTCACTCCGGCTGACGGTGACGTCACGCGCATACCCTCTAGTGTCTTTACTTTTTTTGTTAAATATTATTATATAATAATTTAATATTATACTTTTGTTGTTATAATTTAAATATTATACTTAGAAGTTTACTAATTTGCCAATAGTTACATTTACCTAGGTTAATTTGATTTATTTTCACAGTAATTATTGTTTTGTTGTATTATAAAGGCATGTGAAAGCAGCCAGATGTTCTTCACTGAAGAGGTGACGCCGGGTTCGAGCTCTGAGCCCGGGCCGAGCAGCAGCACTCCAGGTAGTGTTTACCCACACTGACTTGCAATATTTATTTATGTCTCCAATAAAGGAGTGCAACAGCAAACTTTCACCATGAATATATAAATACAAACAATAAATATCAATGCATAGAGAAATGACCGCCAATAATGTTGAAGGGGAACATATGGAGACAACATTAAAAATATAAATATTAAATTAATAATTTAATAATCTTTTTCCTTAGCTCAATGGCAGCTGAATACGAGAGGAAGAGCAGATAGGATCAGCTCTTCTGTGGGTTCATCTGGTGATGGTTACAGTAACAGCCGAGCGGTGAGAATCCTTTACTTTTTTTTTTACAAATCCATTTCAGGGTTTAACTATTTGTGTGAACTAATTATATTTTGCCATAAAGGAGTCGAATTTGATGCCCTGGCGAATGTTACAGTACCTACATTTAACCACTAGGTGGCGTAATAGCAAATCAACTCTAAATAGTAGATTATAGCAAAGTCCCTTTAAGTAGGATTGGGCAATTTGGAAAAAAAAAAATATCATGATTTTTTTTCAGGAAAATCACTATTCATGATTTTATTACGATTCTTTTTTGTGTTGGTTTTACTATTTTGCAAGTGACTGAGTATTACAGCCAAACTAATTTCCCTATTTTAAAAACAAAGCCTTACAAGGTATTAAAATATAAAATAAAAAAGAATGGCAGACATTTAGACCAAAGTGACAGATAAAAAATCTTTGTCATTATTTTGTCTTAGTTAAAAAATTAGAACAAAGATACACATTGCTGCAGCTCAGTATTTTTGCCACTTATTGGGCGTAACCGCAGTCACTCCGGCTGACGGTGACGTCACGCGCATACCCTCTAGTGTCTTTACTTTTTTTATTAAATATTATTATATAATAATTTAATATTATACTTTTGTTGTTATAATGTAAATATTATACTTAGAAGTTTGCTAATTTGCCAATAGTTACATTGACCTAGGTTAATTTGGTTTATTTTCACAGTAATTATTTTTTTGTTGTATTATAAAGGCCTGTGAAAGCAGCCAGATGTTCTTCACTGAAGAGGTGACCCCGGGTTCGAGCTCTGAGCCCGGGGCGAGCAGCAGCACTCCAGGTAGTGTTTAACCACACTGACTTGCAATATTTATTTATGTCTCCAATAAAGGAGTGCAACAGCAAACTTTCACCGTGAATATATAAATGCAAACAATAAACAGCTATGTATAAAGTACAAATTAAATGACTGCAAATAATTTTGGAGGGAACATATGGAGACATTAAAAATATAAATATTAATTTAATAATGTATCACTTATTTATCAATTTATATTAAGTGTTTCTGATAAAGTTAAAAAAATTGTACTAATAAATCTCACCTCACGCACACTGATTTGATTGGTATACATTGTAATACATCACATTGAGCGTATCACATACAATGTAGTCGCCTCGTAGTAAACCCTCTGGTCCATCAGCTGCCGTTTGTTGTGTGCAGTGGAAAGGCACCTTCAGACTCTTGGGCCTCACAGCATATAGATCATCTGCAATACTGATCAGTAGTTAAGATGTGTGCATGAAAACCCACATCAGTTAGATAGTCCTACTCTTTCTCCTTAGCTCAATGGCAGATGCAAATCAGTGGAAGAGCAAACAGGATCAGCTCTTCTGTGGGTTCATCTGCCCACTCCACACCTGCACTCTCACACCCTGGCCGAACCCCTCAGCGAGACCTCAACAGTATGCAACTAACTAATTAACTAACTTATACATTTTTCTGAATGGATGTCACTAGTCCTGATTAATTCCTTTGATTAGAATGAATGTGCTAAATCAACTGATAACTCACTGTGCAACTCTTTTAATCTAGTGACAACGTCTTCATCTGCATCTGCGTCTCATGCGTCCTCTGTGATAGTGGCTGTGGTGGAGGGACGTGGTTTAGCTCGGGGGGAGATTGGCATGGCCAGTATCAATGTCAAATGCCCAGAGCTGGTGCTCTCACAGTTTGCAGACACTGGAACTTATGCTAAGGTAAAGATGCATCCTTTCTCTAAACCACTTGTCCTCTGTAGGGTCACTGTTAAGGTAAAGATGAAATCAGTTATTGTGAAAGCAACAAACATTATGAAAGCAATATTTTATTGAGTGATTAAAATAAGAAAAAATATGTTAAAAAAAGCAAAGAAAATGTTAGTAAACCATTTTACTTGTTATTTTATTATCAAACAATTTCATCTGCGCTGGTTTCTTTTTTCTTTTCTTTTTTACTTTGTAATATTTAATTAAAAAAATTTTTTTTTTAAACAATAGACCCACTATTTTAAGAGAATTTGCTCTTTGCTTAGCATTTTACTTTCATTTTAATTAATTACATTTTTAGTGTAATTATAATATATATATATATATATACAGTATATATCTCTGCGTGCGACTGAAAAATATTTAGGCGCACTGGTGCGAGTGACCCGATCGATTCTCATGAATATAAGTAATACAATTGGAATAGAAAGTACAACTCCCAAAATGCATCTACACTGAGCAACAGTTAAGTTTCGTACTGCGATCGGCTGCTTTTCATGCCTACAGTCAAAGACTTTGCTTCAGTCTGCAGAGCAAGTGCAAAAAACGTGTGCGACGGACTTGCAAAGCTAAGATAATGAGTTTTTGACAATTTAATGCAGTAGAACTAGTGCCGTCAAACGATTAAAATATTTAATCGCGATTAATCGCATTAATGTCATAGTTAACTCGCGATTAATCACACATTTTTATCTATTCTAAATGTCTCTTGATTTCTTTTTGTCCCATTATTTTTTCTCATTTTAATGCTCTTATCAACATGGAAAAGTGGATCGGCTTGCTTTGTGCAAATGTTTTTTATTGAAAACAACATTGACAATACTGTGTTCAATTTCACACTAACATTCTCACTTGGAGCAAATAATCTCTCAATGTAACAATGTCCATCAATAAAAGGGTGAAAGAAATACTGACGAGGGGGCGGAGAATTCGCATCAGCTGTGTGTGATCTCACGATAAAAAATTAACGCCGTTAAAATGGGTTTGCGTTAACGCCGTTAATAACGCGTTTAACTGACAGCCCTAAGTAGAACACTATGCACTTTGTAAAACTGACACCAATGATTTTAAATGTTTATACAGGTAATTACTAAGCTGCATAACTTGATGCCTCTGGAGATTCTGATGCCAGACACTGCTAGTGTGAAAGGACAAGGAACAAAACTCTACAACCTCATCACTGAGAGCTTCCCGGTATCATACTTGTTTTTTTTACCTCTATCTCGTCAATAAATCAGGGCTGGGTGACTCATACCATAGAGACTGTAAATTAGCACTATTGTCAGAGATTTTGCACACCGAGTTTTAGAATTAGAATCGTATGACTGAGTGCAGAATATTTCCTTGTTTACCTGTGCAGTCAGTCACATTCACTCCTGTTCTGAGGAAGTACTTCAATGAGAAGAAGGGCCTGGAGTACACACTGCAGCTCTGTGTCCCTGAGTTCAACACTGTGCTGATGGAGGTGCAAACCAAGTAAGCCCTCCATCTTTATGATAAACTTGGGTTTTATGCATTTCAAGGGATCTGTTTCATGTTTTTGTTTTAGTTCCAGGATTTTGCATGTACGATAAGATAAGATGTACGTGATAAGAAGTGATTCACTAGTATAAGAACTCCAACTATATGGACTCAAGATAGACATTATCTCAGATGTGACCTTTCACTGTGACAGTGGGAAATATTTGCCTGTTTCAGTTCCATTTCGAGAGATATGAATGTATTTCCATAAATATAATAATTAACATATGTAAGACAGTGGTGCAAAACTCAGTTCCTTGATGGTCACACAGAGATTAGTTCCAACCCTGCTCCAACACACGTACCTGTAGTTTTCAAATAAGCCTGAAGGACTTGATTAGCTGGATCAGGTGTGTTTAAATAGGGTTGAAGCTAAACTCTGCAGGGCTATGGCCCTCCAGGAACTGAATTTTGCACCCCTGATTGTAAGACATATCATATATGATGAATATGACTAAAACAATGACAAATAAAACATGTTGTCTGTCTATAGATACTACTGCCTGGCATCTGCATCTGCCCTACTAAAATACTTTGAGTTTGTTCAGAACTCAATATATGCTCCTAAGTCACTGAAAGTGGTCTTCACTGGCAGTGAGCAGACAGCCATGATTGACGCGATATCAGCCAGCAACTTGGAACTAGTTGTGAACCAAAGAGATCACAGGTTAGAAGTTAAAGACACAGAGCATTATGTGTCTGCAGTTTTAGTTCAATAGAATTTGAACACCTGTCATCCACAAAGATCCTATGCCCCAAGATCAGCTCCATTTCACACAGTTTATAATATTTAAATACACACAAAGAATGTAAAAAAGCACACAGATTTCATTTTGGTGTGACAGAAGTGTCAGGTCCTTTTTTTTCTGCTTTTAAAGCTTTGCCTAAACTTTGTAAATATAACTATGAGCACATATTTGTTTGTTTTTTTAATTCATGTGCTCTTAATAATCTTTAATTAAAATAACTTCCTCTCTCCCTCTTGCTACGACGTCTCTTCTCGGCCCTGTTTACACCTGGTATTAAGATGTGTTTTGGTCGATTGGATCACAAGTAGACGTAGACAAGGAAGACACACTCGTTTAGACCTAGCAGTGTTTCCCCTAGGATTTTTTTTCAGGGGGGGGGGGGGGGGGGGACTGCTAGTGTTGCGGAGCGGGCGTGTTACGGATACGTGGTGTAAATTTTTTAGCAATCAAAAAGCATGTCTAATTAATTGAAATAGTGTATTATGAATTATTAAACGTATACAACATTTAAAAAAAAGAAAAAGAAAAATTTCACACTAATTCTGTGTTGTGTTTTTTCTGGTAATAAAATGAAGACATAAAACACAAATTTTATAATTTATCATCAATTTTAATCATATGAAATTAAATAAACTTTTTGTCAAATAACGTGCTGCACAATGAGCTTTACTGTTAAAATTAAAACATGGATTATTCCTTAAATTCAGTTTTGATGATAATTTATTTGGATTAGTGTTAGTATTATTACATTGGGACATATCTAAATTCTACTGTACAACAGTAATATATTTCTGTCAAGTTAAAACGAACTTTTATTTTGACGGGTTGCCGTGAAGACCTTTTGAGTTTGTGTGTTTGTCATGATGATAGTTTTTCTCAAATGAAGCGGTTAAATGATCACGAAGTGACTTTCAGAGTGGATCTAGAGCCTGGAGAGGAAGTTTATGCATTTGTGTCTTCATATAGGCCAAAAAACAGCGCAAGCGTCACACGTGCTTCAGTGTGTGTGTGTGTGGTAAATTAAACTGCGCGTCGGCTGCACCATTCATTCACACAGAACATGCAGGATTCGTATTTAAATTGTCTTTGTGGTTTAATATCCACACACACTTGTCTACATCGCGATTTGATTTCAAGTGTACACTGAACTGCTTTCTATTTATTCCTCAAAAGATTGACAAATTCCATGAAATTCCGCGTTATACAGTAAATTTCTTTTTTATGACTGGATTTCGTCAGCAATTTAGGGGGGGCGGGGGGGCGTTTTGGGGGGGCGGGCCGCCCCCCTAAAACAATGGTAGGGGAAACACTGCCTAGTATTTTAATTAATCTCTTTTGTCCACTTTCAACCACCTCTGTTCTGATTTCTTCGAGGGGAGGGTCTATGGGTTGGTAAATGTCTGGGCTTTTTTGGATCTTTCGATTTAATGGACAAGGTTAGGATTAATGGACCCTAAGCTCGTACAAATATGAACGCGTCCGGAGACGATGGAAAAACATATGGAGAGCAGCAGCTTTCATTTCTGCTCTGAGCCACAAGACCACACCAAACACTGTGAGTGTGTGTTAGAAATCAGGAATGGTGAGAGAACATCGTGCTTGTTACGTTTATCATCTTCAAACCAAATTTGAGTCTGCAGCTGACAAAGTTTGAATCCCGTCTGGCTAGCGTGCTTCCCATAATATTTATGCATTAGCTCAGTAGGCGGAGAGTAGATGGTCTTTTGTGGCTGTTCGAACACATTCGACCACATGAGCGTTTACACTACGAAACCAACCCGTTCGAATGCGTTTTCGACTACCTCTGGAAGTGGTCGAAAGTGGAGAAGCTCAAAACGTTTTAGACCCGTTTACACCTGTATTTCGATCGACAAAACACATCTTAATACCAGGTGTAAACAGGGCCCTCTTCTCTGATGATGTGTTTACTGGCGTGAGGGCCCTACATTTTTCTTGCCATTTCACTCAGATATATGTCATTATAAGGAAGAAAAGGCTATCAAAACTTCTGTTTCATGCAGACTTTAATGTCAGTAACCGACCCGTATGCTGTTATTTGCAGGAGTGAGCACACTCTGTTTGGGGTCTTAAACTACACTAAGACTGCCGGTGGGGAGCGGCGGTTACGCTCCAATATTCTTGAGCCCCTGCTGGATGAGGTCACTATCAACTCACGTTTGGACACCATAGAGGTGATCACCTGTTATCTGTATGTTTTTTTCTTTTTCTTTCACTCAGTTATTTCTCTCACTCATTAATTAAATAATCTTCTCTTTGATTCATTTCCAGGAGCTGTTGCAGAATGAAGAGCTCTTCTTTGGTCTGAAGAATGGTAAATACTTCATTTTATTTGTCAGTTTAAGAGACTTTGTTTCAGGCTGTTTTTCCTACTGGTTTTACCCTTCGAAGCTGCAGTTTCAGACGATTAAGTGTTTATTAGGTCTGTAGACCAATTTTCAGTTGGTAAACATGGTGACATTTTTATGTGGGCGGAGCTTAGGTGGTGGCAGAACGATCCCTCTGGCCGCTTCACTAACGTAAAGTCTGCAAGTTATGTTAGCTTGTTTTTAACAATGACTGGAGAAAATCCGATTTTATCTTAATGTGCATGGTCACTCAGTGCCCAGGACCGCGATTGTTATTTGCAAAAGTTAATTTTAACGGACAGAAATTGACCCGTACTGTATACACTAGGGATGGCTCGATACCACAATTTTGGCTTCGGTACGATACCAGAACCTAATACCTCGGTATCGATACTAAATCGATACCACAGGTAAAAATAAAAAAAACGGTCTCAAAATTTAAGTGACACTTGAAAAACACTGCTTGAAACTCTCCGCTACCAAATGTGCAAAGAAAAGGTATCAAAATGTAAAAAATAAAATAAAAAATTCAGTCAGGGAACATACAGTAGGTTACATTTTTATTTTATTTTTAAACCTTGCAATTATACATTTAAAATAGGTTCATATCTATAATAATAGATTAACATATAATAATAATAATAGAATAATGAAATGACATGTAAACCATTAGCTGTCATGCATCAACAGAGAATTATCAACATTTATTGCATTTATTCATCTTGGTTTGGTTACTGTTTGGGTTCATATTAATGCATTGCATAAAGTAATGTTAACATGCTAAACATGTATTAGTATATTTAATTTTCTAGGTAATTTAATTACTGATTTATATAGATTAATAAATGCTATAATACTGTTAGGTCAGGTGGTTACCTAATGAATGCTGACAAATGTAGCTTAATTTGTAATATTAGTAATATTCATATTAATACTTCTCTATCTCTCTCTCGCGCCAGAGCGGCACTAATATGCCATTCATTTTACTATCACTATCATTAATACTAAAATTAATATTATTCAAATTTGTATTCTTTATTCATTCAAATTCAATTAATATATGTTTGTTTGAAAGTGCAAAAATGATGAGAGAGACCTAAACTGAATTGGTTCTAGTGTGTCATGCAAGCAGATTTTGAGCTTTCGTGTTTACCACCGTATCCAGAGCCGGATAAACGCAAAGGCAAACTAGGCACGTGCCTAGGGCCCGACTGGCGGGATGGGGCCCAGACAGAGGGATACATTTTTTTTTTTTTTTTTTTTGTATTTTTTTTTTACAAATGTCCTATCTACAATTTATTTCAATATTTATTAATTAACTAAAAATAGTGACGATGTTTATCTTAACCATAGACTGTTACATTACGTCACATTAACGCCAGCCCATCAGGTGCTGCGAAGCAAAAGCCTAAATAGGCACGCAAAGAAGCACAGCTCTAATGCAGGTGTGTGCGTTGTCGTCATCTATTTTGGAGTGATTGCAATGTATTCTAAATATAAACTTGTACTGTAGATCAGCGTCATTTCTGGAAAAATCATTCACCGCTTTATTACGAGTTTAAAAGAGCGCGAGCGTCATTAACGTGCCCAGACGCGACGCTTTGAATTTGCGCGTACAACAATGAATAACATCGCGTCGGGAGCTGACTAAAAACACTACAAAAGTAAAAGACAAGACGTTTGTATTCAAAGTTAAAAAGCCAACACACTACAACATTTTTAAATGTTTCAAATAAAGGATCTCGGGTCTATCTTCTAAATTCTGCTGATGATTAGATTATACCCTGTCTGACATCAGCCTACTTACGCCAATAATATCAGTTTAGAATTTTTTTTCTAATCAGTAGCGATCGTGTCTTTCTCTTCCACTTCATTTGTGTATAGCATATTTAAGCTAGCAATGCAATGCATAATATCATATTAGGCCTACTTATATTAATAATATGACAATATCTGCAGTCAATATTGATTAAATGGGAGGGGAAAATCCTGCCCATACCAGCTATGAAAAAAATGATAAAAGCATATATCACTGAAGTGGTATTCTGGAACTGTGAATAAATTGAATAAAACAGCAAAATAACAATAAAATCTTCATTAAACAAAAAAGAGATTACCTCTTACCAATTACTATTTTTAATGTTTTTGAAAGAATGTTTTTATTATGCTCTACAAGCCTGCATTTATTTGATCAAAAATACAAAAAAGAAAAACAGGAATATTCAGCAAGGATGTGTTAAATATATAAAAAGTGATAGTGAAGACTTTTTTTAAACAACTTTTTAATAATAAAAAAAAAATCCTGAAAAAAAGTATCACAGGTTATAAAATAAATATTAAGCACCATTTCTAACATTTGATAATAAATCAGAATATTATAAAGTTTTCTGAAGGATCACATTACACTAAATTCAGCTTTGCATCACATAAATATATTTTAAAGTAGTAAAATAGCCAAACTATTTAATAATATTTCACTATTATTTATCTGTATTTTTGATCAAATAAATCCAGGCTTGATTAGCATAAGAGACTTCTTTCAAAAACATTAAAAATAGTAATGTGTCCAAACTTATGTACTGTGTAAGTAAAAACATTTAAAATTAAATGTTGTATAAATTAAAAGGTTAGGAATCATATTTGTTTCAAGAGTTTTTTATTGGGGGTGGGGGGCCTCCAACATGAATATTGCCTAGGGCCTCCAAATGTCTAGAACCGGCCCTGACCGTATCATATATAATTGATAAGCTCTTATGTATGTGCGCTGTTCAGTGTTCAATAAAAGTCTAAATTAAATCAGTTGAATGATGGACTAACCTGTCGATCTCTGAACTCTCTGAACAAGTCAAGATGAACAACTGACAAGTGCTTCGGCAGATTTGATGTGTTGCCTCCCCGTTTGCAGAGTGGTGCATTGAGATATGTTTCCTTACTTTTCTCATTACTTTTGTAGGCAAAGTAATGCCTTATTTCACTCATACTGCTCTCTCTATTTATTAATTTCGGGCGTGTAGAAATTCGAATGAGCTTTGTTTGATCCATCGCGTTCCTCCGTTGTCACCGCGTGCCGGTTTCGCGTGACCCGTGTCAGTTTAGGTAGCGCACTGCCGCCTAGCGGTGAACTTCGAAACAGCAGCGCATCAAATACCGAATTGAACAAAATTATGATATTGTACCGTTTGAAATATAATATATACCGGTATTTTTGCAGTACCGGTATACCGCGCATCCCTAGTATACACGCTGGACGTTCTGACAGGATTAACGCTAACGCTACCTCCGGTTGAGTGGCCTGACTTCTACACCTACCTGATAGAGAAACGGAGGGCATGTAAATCTTTAGATGCCTATAACTATGTGCTGAATGGTCAAGTACAAGACTTGTGTGGTACGATCCGCAATTCTGCCTAGCCAGCGCCATGAAGACGACAATGTAAAGAGTGACATTAAGGTGCAATCTTAATGAGGTGAATATTTTTTAGAAATAAAAAATTGCAGATAAAGCATATTAATTTTTCATTGATTCTTGCACCCAACAACACAACAAGATGACATTTAATAATAAGAATAATTTAACCATGGTTATCAGAAGTGGTCCACTGAGAATTGTGGCAAACTTGATCGTCATGAAATCTAATTTACATGAGGAGGGAGCCATATTTACATTCAGGTATTAGCCAAATTACAAACCCAAACTCTACCATTTTTGTAGTCAAGTATTGAGTATTGACACACACAAAAAAAACACACAAGAAAAACAGGTTCTGTACCAAAACTTTACAGCTTATACTGCAAACTGTAAACATGGTTGCCAAAATAATATGCACTGCACTGCTTACTTGCTGCTTATGTGTGCAGTGTGAAACAGGCCTTACTTGTTATTGAGCAATTTTTTGGTGATCTTAATAGCTCTTAATTTCTTGGATCAGACCTACCTAGAATTGCACCCACAATCATAATGTATTAATGTTTACCAGATGCCTAAATATTTGCCTGGCACCACTCCATGGTGGGACATTATTGATGTTGTGCTTTTATTCACAGCCATTGCACAGTTCCCGGATATAGATGAGCTGCTGTCTGCTCTTGTTCAGGTCCCAAAGCAAGAGACGGTAGGCATAGGAAACACATTTTTTTCCAGAGTACTAAACTTAAAGAGGTTGCTTTCTTATGAGGGCGATGGGGTGGGTAATTTTAATTTATTTTAATTAATTTTAATTTAGAATATCATTGGTGAGAGAATTTTACACTGTCTTACAGGTCTACACTGAAAAAAAAGTAACCTACAAATGGAAACATCTAAATTAACTGGTTTTAAGTCAAAAATAATATTTGACATCACTGAACCAACCTAGATAAATTAATTTATACTAGGGATGTCAATTTTCACAAATTCCCATGATCGATCGTCGTTTAAATTAACGATCAATTAATCGATTAATCGTTAGCCTTAATACTGCAATATGCGTCTGCTGCAGTGCATATGGCCAACAGCATGACAGCGTCTGCAAATGCTGCTCAAACCGCTATGTTCCTCACCAAATTAATGAGAATGGTTTTAATCTAAATAAAGGGCTAGTAGGATTGTAAAATGTTTCGATGTGATTGATAATTAAATTACAGGGCTCGAATTTCGGCGCGGGATTGCGCATAATTCTAATAATTCCCACAGGTCTCCCATTTATAATGCAGGAAATTCCCGCAATCGTAATCCACACAGATTATAAAATCAAATAATTCTTTTAACAACTATCCGCCAGACGCAATTTCACAAACAGCGTGAGTGTTCAGCGGTGCCGCGTCTTCTATCTCTTCTCTCAAAATGTGTTGTGCAAGGCAAGCATCAAGCGCTGCGGCGACACACTCGCGTTTAGGAGTCGGGACATGACGGAATATTCACTTGCACAATCGGCCCAGCAGTGCATCGTGCCTGAAGTTTACCATTTGCACGTCTTTTTAAGTCTTACCAGTTTAAACATTCAAGCGATTTTAAACTAGGCTAATCAGTGCTCGCGCGCTCTCTAAGAGATTATTTTCTATGCGCACATTCATAGAGAATCCGCCTCAAAAACAGCTGGCCAGTAACAAAAGTTATTTTTCGCGGATTATATTGCTTTAACACGCAAAATTGTGTCAATTTCGGTCTTCGTGAGTATACTCTAAACATAGTCGGTTTTGTCTTTTAATAAGCATAAAACGCATGCCAGTATAATGAACGCAGGATCCGTGCACTAGCTCATTAATTTAGTTGTCAAAAAAACAAAATATAGCTTTAAGTTAAAGGAATCAGGATTAATAGCCTATATATATTTAATTTATTCAGGACTAAAATACTACCCAGTGTTATTTTCCATTTGATTACTTTATTCAGTTTCTGTAGGCCTATATGAAGTTAGACCCATTGAAAAACTTTTCTCTTTATTTGTCTTTATTTGTATCTTTATTCTATTGTATTTGTGCTACTTTTTTCAATTTAATTAAACAATTTAAATCAAGCTTCCTTGTGTTGTGTAAACTCTTAACAACAATATTACCCCATTGTAAAAATGCAATGAGCGCAAACATTTAGGCAAGATAAATGTAATTTTTGTTTGGAAAAAATGCCCCCCGCCCTTCTCCCCCTCAAAAAAACAAATCCCCCCGATTTCCCCCCCATTTTCCAAAACGAAATTCAGGCCCTGAATTAAATTAAATATTTAATAATCAAATATAACGACTAATACAACGTGTCACCAACGCCGCCTCAGATGCGCTTGTCAGAATGTGTGACTTGTGGACGCGTGCTCTTCCTGGAACAACGCACTTAAAACGGCAACTAAACCCAATGAATTCACACCGATTTAATAAAATAGTGTTCTCATGTTATGTAATATGAAAGTCCCAAATTAATCCTCGTTATTAGTCGTGCATTCTGCTTGAGCGGCGCGCGCTGAATGAATAACTTAACTGTTGAGCACTTTGCTAGCACGTTATTTAACTCAAAGAAACGCATCCTATGAGATTAATCAGATATATACAAAATAAACATAATATTACAAATTATATCTGCACAAAATGACGTGAATGCACAAGTGAACTTGAACTAAGTTACGTGCCATTCAGAATGACTCATGTTGTGGACGCGCTCTTCCTGGAACAACGCGACACGGCAACTAAACCAAAAGAATTCACAATGTTTTATTACAATATTGTTCTCTTTATAATGTTATATAATATGACAGTCCCAATAGTCGTTATTAGTCGTGCATTGCCATTTGAGCTGCGCGCGCTAAAGATCACGCTGCGTCAATTCTTAACCAACTGCATCCAATATGAGATAAATCAGATATAGATAAGCACACACAAAATAAACTATTACAACTTACATTTGCACAAAACAAAAGGCAGCGAATGCACACGCAAACTTATAGTCATGATGAAGGTGTAAAATAGTCCCAAACATAACTCCGGCGCGCTCGCTTACATGTTTCGCGGTTGAGCAGCACGCACGCGCATGAACCTGCTTAATCGATGATCGATAAGGTTTATCGATTAAACGTGTTATCGACAATTAATCGATCATCGATTAATCGTTGACATCCCTAATTTATACCAATAAAACTATTTTTATGAGATAAATCAGGTAAAAATATCTCTTTAAGATTTAACAATTGCAGGTTACAATTTTTTACATGATAGTTAAGTAGCAGGCACAATTCAGTAGATATAGACTTCATCCTTTAGCGAGAGAGACATTTGGCTTATAAATTCAAACTTTTCATCTTCAAAAAGACTTTTAAACCATTGTTTGAATTAGTGACCCTCAATAGTTTAGCAGTTAATAATCTTTTTTATGTTTTTCCATGTAGGTACCGGTGGCTGAAGCAAAAATAACGCAAATAATTAAGCTAAAGCACATTCTAGAACTGGTCCCATCACTGAAGGTAACTTGGGCATTTTTAAAAAATACTGTAAGACTCCAAATCATTAAAAGGACTGTACATAATCTGCAAAGAACCCATATTTTAACTAAACCTTTTATGTTTTCATCTATTAATAAGAGCAGTAGCCATCTCACCTCAGTGTAAAGTCAACATTAAATCAAAATTGACATTATTTAGACATAAAATCTAATTTTTAACATTTTGGTCAGTATAAGTAACGATGTTAATGTAAACAAGTAAATTTCTCCCTGATAAGGCGATGCTGCAACATTCCAAAACACCCTTGTTGGAAGCATATTATACCTCACTTGATGACAGCAGGTAATACGTTTTACACACTTAGCTATGTGAACTTTAAAGGAGAACTCCGGTCAATTTTAACATTGAGCTCATTTTTTTGTAAATTTGGAGTGCTGTCAGTACAGAGAACAACGACAAAAATCGGTGTTGCCTACACTGTGTTATCCTCTTTTTAAAATTTGCACCCTGTTAACTTAAACGGGGCAAGTTTTAAACCTGCTTTTAGCCTCTTAACATCCTTGATGTGTCATTACAAGTGCACAGCCACGTGAGTGACTTTATTCAGAGTGAACACGGTAAATCTGCGCACATACCGTATTTACTTCCTGTTTTGGCACTTAAGTCCACAGTAGTCGATTGTCGAGTTCACGCGCACGATCATTGGTTACTAAGCAATTCAAGAGAACGCGCGTGAACTCGACAATCGACTACTGTGGACTTCGACCGATAAAAGGAAGTAAATACGGTATGTGCGCTGGCTAATAAAACATCACTTTTATTCATATCTTTCACATCTACTGCAGTCAGATTCACCGTGTTCACTCTGAATAAAGTCACTCACGTGGCTGTGCACTTGTAATGACACATCAAGGATGTTAAGAGGCTAAAAGCAGGTTTAAAACTTGCCCCATTTAAGTCAACAGGGTGTAAATTTTAAAAAGAGGATAACACGGTGTAGGCAACACCGGTTTTTGTCGTTGGTCTCTGGACTGACAGCACTCCAAATTTACAAAAAAATGAGCTCAATGTTAAAATTGACCGGACTTCTCCGTTAACACAGGAGGCACAAAGAATCCCATGTTTGAGTACAGAGTTCAATCAGCACTTTCATATGTGCATTTGATGGTTTAGTTCTAGTTCTAGAATGCAGCCCATCAGGTTTTACTATTTTATCTTTAACATTTCTCATTTGTGTTGGGTTAGGTTTAACAGCATTCTGGATCAGATCAAATCGCTGATTAATGATGACACCAGCTATATGAAAGGCAGTTTGACCATGCGCACACAAAAGTGCTATGCTGTACGGCCCAACGTCAGCGAATTCTTAGATATTGCACGACGAGCCTACACAGAGGTGATAGATGACATAGCAGGTGAGCTCCTTAAAGTGTAAATTGCAGGTTAACCACCACAACCAATTAATGTGTAAATTAAAGTACTCAATGTGTATTTATGTAAAAATTTCTGTCTTAAAATGCGTTAAAATAACATTGATTGGGGTTTCTTCAAAGGTAGCATGTTTTTTACGTAACTGGGTGATGACGTCATAACAGGGAGCGCGGGCGGTAATGCACTCACTCTGTGTGTGCCGGTTGAGGGAGAATAAAACGATTCGCGGGACTCCCGCAAACTAGAAATATCTATGAATAAAACATAAAAACGAATACATTTTTATTCATCTGTTGCAGAAAAGCAATAAGAACAACTAAAACAAAATAGAAACGGTTTACAGGCAGAGTTTCTATTTCTAACATGTCTGCAGCGTTGAGCGATGTAGCCAATCACAGACATATGTGTTGATTTCTTGAACGCAATAATGGCCAATCAGAAGCATTTACGATGGACTCCCCTCACCGCTCAAAACGGACTTTTTGTTCAGTGCTGAATTCTGTATGCTGGCAAATCCTCTAATTATAACAAACATAGTGTATGAAAGCTTCATTGATAATAACAGAGATGTGTGAGATCGCGATGAACTGATGTCAGCTTTTTAGGAATTATTAAGGGAGCGCACTTTGCGCGCAGTCATGCCAGACTATGCACGCAGTAACGTTAGCCCGCTTGCTTTTATGTTATAACAGTGATCAGGAGCATGTATGCTGATGTGTATGGTGGCGACACGTAGGCTAACTTGAAAGTATTTGGAGGTACAGAAAAAAAGTCTTTTTGCGGGCGGGAGCGGGACAAAACATAAATGTTGCGGGCGGGAGAAAGTAATATAGAAAGTATGAGAACGTCAGTTATAACGACCCACGTATTAAAAAATAGTCGGGTTTAAACCGGGCTCATAATTACAGTTAATGTGTCGGGCAGGGCCGGACCGGGCTCGGACACAGCGGGCTCGGGTAGGGTCTTGTTTGAATTTTTTGGGCCCGATGTAAGCTCTACCTCGGGTATGCTAACACTTACAGGCACGAATCAGCCGTTTGTCCTTGGGGAACTTGTGGAGCCTCTCCCCAGTTTTTGATGTATTCGTACATCCCGCACAAACACAATATTTAACCATTTTTGCTAGCTAGGTCTCCAATATAACTCAACTCCAGGCCTGAAGCATAGAGAGTATAAGCTTGGAGTACCTTTTATGACGTCACGCCCAGCTAGTGGAAGGGAGGGGGCGTGCTTAAAACCACTGTAAACTTTTCATATTATATTCAGCATTTTGGTATAAAAAACATAAAAAAAAAATGGTGGGCGGTTCTTATCTTTATGTTTAGTAAGCACATTGCATTATCTTCGTGAAAATTTTTACCTGCAATTTACACTTTAACTTTAGTGGACTATGAAAAGGATGAATATGTAGGTTATTGTGAATTACTAATTCATCTGCAATAACCACACCGCCACATGTTAAATTACCATTAAATGCATTAAATTTATTATTGAATTTTGGTTCCTGAGGTCAACTCTTAAAGGAGTCATGAACTGGCTTTTTAAATGTTTTTATATTGTTGTCTGAGGTCAACTTATGATGTTCGCTTGGTTTTTACATTCAAAAACATCAAAATGAATAAGTAATAGGCTATTTTCTACCCTAGTTTTGAGCCTAGCTCAAAAACGCTCGTTTTTTTTATGGGCGTCTCGCATTGAAGACTTAGAAATAAACGCCCACTGCTGTGAGTGGATAACAGTTTTGCATATTATAATGAGTTTAACGTGTAATGCGCGAATCGGTGGGCGGGGCTAAACCGTCCATGTTGAAGTAGGCGTTGATCTTCTTCTGCGGGGGTGGTGTTTTATCCTCTTTGTCGTCATAGTTCCCCACTTTGAAAAACGAGTCGTTTGCTAAGCCTGGTGTCAATAAAAGCTTTTATTGGACTAACAAGGACGTTTTCAGTTCTGAAACTTACAGGATATTCTTATAATATGATGACCTCTTAGATGTCAAAAGCTCAAGGAAAATTTGATTTCTCAGTTCATCACCCCTTTAATGTTCATTAAATTCATAATTTAATAAAAAGTTTGTACGTTTGGTGTTGTAAATGTGGTTGGCCATGTGTGCATATGTTTAAATGAAATGCCACAGTCGGTTATGCAGTCCATATAGTTTGTGATTAATCAGATCTTTCCAAATTCCATCCTGTTTATATGTTAGTCATGAACATTAGCATTATTGACGTGTTTGTGTTGTTGATGATCAGAACTGGTGGCTCAGCTTGGAGAGAAGTACAGCCTACCCCTCCGAACAAGTTTCAGCAACACACGTGGCTTCTTCATTCAGATGAGGCTGGAGGGTGTGGTCTTACCTGCGGGGAAGTTACCAGAGGGGTTCATCAGAGTGAGCAAAGACATCAACTTAAAAAAAATTACTGAACGTTTTCATAAGTGTTTAATGTAACATAAAAATTAAATACACAATCTGTGTGCATGTAAGATAAAAATCTTCTTAAATAGACAATAAATATTGCACTTTCCTGGCTATAGGTTAACCCTATAAAGCCTGTATCATATTTGATAAGGAAATTTATAATGCCTTTAAATGATCAACACTGCTGAAAAACCTGTTGGGGGCAATGTAACCAAAATATTAATTAGTAATATAGAGTATATATATAAACTTACCTGCCACTTTATTAGGTTCATCTTGCTAGTACCGCCGGTTGGACCGCCTTTTGCCTTCAGAGCTGCTTTAATTATTCGTGGCATTGATTCAACAAGGTGCTCAAATATTTTGCAGAGATTTTGGTTCATATTGTCATGATAGCATCAGACAGTTGCTCCCGCTGTTCTAACACATCCCAAAGGTGCTCTATTGGATTGAGGTCTGGTGACTGTGGAGGCCAGTTGAGTTTAGTGAAATGATTGTCATGTTCAAGAAACCAGTTTGAGTTCTGTGATGTGGCATGTTATCCTGCTGTAAGTAGCCATCAGAATATGGGTACACTGTGGTCATAAAGGGACATGGAACGAAGCTCAGATGGTATTACGGGGCCAAGAAAATGTCCAACACCAGAAGCCTGAACCGTTGAGACAAGGCAGGATGGATCCATGCTTTCCTGTTGTTTATTCCAAATTCTTTCCCTACCATCTGAATGTCACCGCAGAAATCTAGCCTCATCAGACCAGGCAATGTTATTCCAATCTTTGGTGAGCCCGTGTGAATTGTATTTAGGGGTGGGCGATATAGCCTCAAAATTATATCACGATATTTTAAGAATATTTGCGATAATGATATTTATGACGATATAGAAAATCTTTTTCTTTTTTTTTTCTCATTACGTTTATCTCGCCTACATGTTTGCTCACTCATTGTGTTTTTACAATGGGGTAATTTTGTTGTGTTTACACAACACAAGGAAGCTTGATTTCAATCTTTGAATTAAATTGAAAAAAGTAACAAAAATCTATACAAAAAAAAAAATAAAGATACAAATAAAGACAAAAGTTTTTGGGTAGGTCTAACACTAGTATTCAGAAATACTACAGAAACTGAATAAAGTAATCACATGTAAAATAACAGTCTTTTAGTTCTGATTCCTGACTAAACGAAATAAATAGGCTATTAATTCTCATTCCTTACAATTAAAGCTATCTTTTGTTGTTTTGACGACAACATTAATGACAGACAGATGTGGCTGCTGTCACTTTTACTGCTAGTGCACTGATCCATTGCTATTTTTATTATACTGTTTGTCACATGCGTTTTATACATAACCGACTGTGTTTACGAGTATACTTAGCAAGACCGGAATTTTGAACCCCCCATTAAAGCGATATAATCCAGGGGAAAATTACTTTTGTTACTCGCGAGCTGTTTGTGAGGCGGCTTTACTGTATGTATGCACGCAGAGAAACGCTCAGAGTCTCTCAGAGAGCGCGCGAGTAGCCTACTGGATAGTTTAAAATCGCTTGAATGTTTAAACTGATAAGACTTAAGAAGACGTGAAAATTATAAACTTTAGTTGTGATGCACTGATGGCCCAATTGTGCAAGTGACAATTCAGTTATGTCCCGACTCCTAAACGCGAGAGTGTGGTATCGCCGCCTGCAGCACTTGACTCTTGCCTTGTGCAACACATTTTGAGAGACGAGAAAGAGAAGACGCGGCAGCACCGCTGAACACTCAAGCTGTTTTTTAAATTGCGTCTCGGAGAAAGTTTGGTTGTACTCGACGGTGTGTTTTTGCTTGTTGTGTTTCCACCTAGCAGTAACAGTTTTTTTTGTTGCATATTTTGCAAAATATTGTGCTTTGTTGGAGGTCTGACCTCTTGTAACCAAACCTCTTCCATTCTATTGAAGTAGCTCCCTTTTTATGTACTAAATTGTCATCAGAGGCTGACAGGCTGCTCTTACTCTCAGACAGGTGATGTTGTTGTGCACGCTAGAAAAAGTAAATGCGCCATACGTCATCGCGTCGCTATATCATTGATATCGCGATATGACACTTTTTTATCATGTCAAAATTTATACCGGTATTATCGTGAACGGTATGATATGGCACACCCCTAATTGTAGCCTCAGTTTCCGGTTCTTATCTGACAGGAGTGGCACCAGTATTTCTTCTGCTGCTGTTGCTCTTCTGCTTCAAGGTTCGATGTGTTGTGCGTTCAGAGATGCTCTTCTGCAGACCTCGGTCGAAATGAGTGATTCGAGTTACTGTTGCCTTTCTATCAGCTGAAACCAGTCTGGCCATTCTCCTCTGATGAAAATGCATCAACAAGGCATTTTCACCTTCACAAAGAGCCCATTTTTCTTATGCATATTATAGTTTCCCAGGAAAATTATTAACTGCGCTATGTATTTCACTATTATACTTTAATATATTTATACAATATATCTTTATTCATTTCTTTTATATCTTTAAAATAAAAAATACACAAAAGACACATTTTTATCAAACACCCTCAATAAGTCTCTACATCCTTCCAAAAATATTTAAATCTTCCAGAACATGCTTGACATAAAAACAAAAACTATGTTGCAGATATATGTTATATAACATATGTTACATATAACATATGTCGCACTGTGTAGCCCTGTTTAATTATCCATAAATATTTATTTATTTTAGAAAAATCATGTTAAAATTTGAGTATCAAATATGACGTCTATGTCTGTTTAGCTTCATCGTGTTTTGGTTTAGCTTTCCCTCATCCCATTTTGCCTGTGTTCCTTGGTCAATAGTTTCTGATTAATCCCACTCCTGTTTCTGGTCTGGTTAATTAAATCTCAATGTGTATATAAGCCTTTGGTTTCCTCGGCTGTTTGTTTGGTCTCGTTTGTGTTCTGTTCTTATTCTTCTGTGAATTTTTTATGCTTATTAAAAGTCCTGTTTCTATTTGGAATTTTTTTGTGTTTTTTTTGTGTTTTTAACTACATTTATATGTAGTTCAATTAATTATATTTTTCAGACTATTATTTCATATGTCAGGCTTTACAGGATTATAGTGTTGAATAGCAAGTGCTAATGGGCTTAACCTCAACACTATAGGTGACCAGACAGAAGAACAACTGCTCGTTCACCACTGTAGACCTCATGAAAATGAATGACCACTGTGAGGAGGCTTTGAAAGACATTTTTCACATGTCTTATGTGTGAGTATATGGTAGCTCAAAGTAAGATGACTAGTGCAAGAATCATTTTAGTCATAGATGGTATTTATGTGCACTGCAGGGTTGTGTCCAAGTTACTGAATGAGGTCTATGAACAAATCTACTGCCTGTACAAACTGTCTGATGCTGTGTCAATGCTGGACATGCTGCTCTCTTTGGCTCACGCCTGCACTGTCTCAGATTACGGTAATGTTAAGCGCCATATAGGCGTAATGTAGATTATTACATTTATGTGATGAGGACATACATTTTTCCTTCTTTAGATACTGACAGCATTGATTTTCTTTTTAATTACTTAATAACTTAAGTATTTGTTTCCTTCAGTGCGTCCTGAGTTCACTGATACATTGGCAATAAAGAAGGGTCGCCACCCCATCCTGGAGCGCATTTCTGGGCAAGAACCCATCTCCAACAACATCTACATCTCTGAGGGAAGCAATTTTGTGATCCTAACAGGCCCCAACATGAGTGGCAAGTCCACCTACCTTAAGCAGGTGGCCCTCTGCCAGATAATGGCTCAGATAGGTACACAGAGTTGCTATTATAAAAATAATAATATTTGTTTGTTACTTGTTTACTACTCTTTTGGTCACTAGATCACTCTATTATTCCCATACGCGCAAACACCACTAGTATAGAGTAAGTGTGGGTAATGATGAGCAGGTTTGTGGTAGGGTCTAAGATAATGGATTCATTTGCATGATTTAGCACCAGCTGTCTAGTCCTGTGGGATCAAAACAACCTTATTCAGAATGTCGTCTTTTTCCCAGGATCCTTTCTGCCCGCGGAGTACGCCTCTGTTCGTATTGCGGATCAGATATTCACCAGGATAGGAGTAGACGATGACTTTGAGACCAACTCTTCCACATTTATGGTTGAGATGAAAGAGGTAAATTGTGGAAGAAACGGTTTTAAACAGCTAATCAAGAACATTTTATTGAAATTTCATCAATGAAACCTTAAAGTATAGTATCAAGTCTTAAAATTTTTATTTACACATGTATTTTTGTGTTCATTCTGATATTTCCATGTAATTTTCTACTACACATGGTCTTGGTATGTATCAATAAATAGCTATATACACAGTACTTTTATATAGAGGCATATACAGATAGGTCTGAAGCTTGTCTCACATGCAGTTAAAAAAGTATTTTCTCATTTAAATACTTAACTGCACTCCTAGGTGTCTTACATCATCCACAATGCAAGCAACAAGTCACTTATCATTATTGATGAGCTGGGCCGAGGCACCAGTCCAGAGGAAGGCATTGGTATCTGCCACAGTATCTGCGAATTCTTCATCAATATTAAGGTGCTGTATTTATTTTATCAAGAGTATATTTTATACAGTAAAGAGGCATATAGAAAACAAATAAGTATTCACATATACCAAACATACTTGATTGGTTATTCTAACATTGCTCTACTCACAGTATTTCCGTAAGTAACTAACAAAACTTGTGCTGTACTAGGCCTTCACGCTCTTTGCAACGCACTTTCTTGAACTGTGCCAGTTGGAAACTCTTTACCCCAACGTGGAGAACCAGCACATGCAGGTTCAGCACGTCCGCGCAGGAGATGGTAGAGCAGAGAAGGTGGTCTACACATACCAGCTCAGCCGAGGACATTCAGAGGAGCGCAACTATGGTGGGTTAAGACTATTCCAAGCTTTTCTAAACTATTTAATCTATTCTATGACAATTTATTGTATGGTGGTATAGTATTATATAAGTCACATTTGCATATCTGTTGAACGTGTGGAATAAGTGAAGCCAACACATTTGCTGCGTTCCAATTCGCATACTATCTGTTCTAAATAGTATTCGAAATTAGAATTAGTGTGTTCCAAATCGTAGTATTTTGAATCGAGTATTCCAAAGATACCCGGATGGTCTACGCTCTAATGGCTAATATTGCCCACAACCCATTGCGCGTTAGACGAGGATTCGATTAGAACTACAAACATGGATTTTTTTTTAAAAGTGTTAAACTACAAACATGGCTGATGTGTGAGAACGATGGTTAAGTAGAGATCTTTTGAAGTGTTTTGAGTGATTAATAATTAGTATCTAACCTGACGAAAATATATTTATTCAATGTAATCCATAAGAAATTTCATCAGCAACAACATTGTGAACTTTAATAAAGATACGTTTGGTCATTAACTTTTAAATGCATCATTATGCAAAAACATGAGGAGAGTTCTTTGCATGAAAGACCCACGATTGGCAGATCAACGTGCTACTGCATTTCTCTCCGATATGGTAGGAAATTCAATTGTATGTGGAGGATTTTAACTGTGACAAGATGATTGTCAGGGCAGTTTAGTTTAAATGGTGACAGGATGCACATAACTAAGCAACAGAGTGGTCCGTTAAAGACGCAATCATGACTAAGTGGTGTGTTCTTTTCTTCTGCTACACACTCAAAAGTATGTACTTTTTTCACAGAAACTTTTAGGTACAAACATACTTTTAGGGCATAGTATAAGTATGCTGTCTGCTGTTTTTGTTTAGGTATAAGAGCAGCAGAGATGACCAATTTACCACCAGAAGTTATTCAGGAGGCCAAAACTGTCTCAGCTAAAATCAGCCAAAAGCTGTGGGTATGTTAAGATTCATGAATTATATATTCTAGAGGTACAGGAGAAAAATCATATACAGATAGCCTGCAGAGTTAGTTACCTTATATCTCCATTGTCTTGTCCACAGGCCAAGCATTATAGTGACCCTGCCACTCGGAAACAGAGGGCAGACTATCGTCTAGCCACCAGACTGCTGCAGACGGCCCGTAACTCACGGTTGGACCCAGAGAGCCTACGTCACTACCTGAAGGCCTTGAAAAGACAGTATGAGGCTGAAATTCACAATGCTACTGAGTCAGTAGAGATAGAGGAGTGAGGTCTGGCGTGTGAAATGGGTTGGTGGGGTAGGAACATTACTAATCAAATAAAATGTTATTTTAAACTGAGACCAAAACCATATGAGTCCATGTGTTCCACTTTGAGGTGATATAAACCAATGGTTCTCAACTGGTTTGACCATGATGCACCTCTTGATCTCTCTTTGATCACAAAAACTATGCATTTATATCCTCTTACTAAGACATATTATTGAGAGATATAGGCCTGGTTTCACAGACAGGGCTTAGATTAAGCCAGGATTAGACCTTAGTTCAATTAGGATATTGAAGTAGCTATTATAAGTTAGAAAAAAAAACATTACTGGTGTGCATCTTGAGACAAAACAAGAGAGGCTGCTGACTGCAGAGAAAATGGTTGGAGTTTATGTCTATCTCCTCCTCGTCGCTAGACGTCCAGCCTGGAGAGGTAAATGTAATTTGAGCCTAATGGGTGGAGCTGAATATCCAACTGTACCCTAACCCAGGGGTGTCAAAACTCGGTCCTGGAGGGCCACTGTTATAAAGATCTCATTGACTTACAAAATTTCAAATTATTTTCTGGCCATATAAATATCCACCAAATTGCTTGCTCAGTTTGGTTCTCAATGAAACTGAGGTGGGTTTTTTTCCTTTTCAAGAATGAGCTCCAAATTCTCATATTATAATATAGGTCATAAAAGCCTGATGTATTAATCATTGTAGGATAAAACATAAAACACATGCAATTTTTAGATTTTCTTTTTTAAATTAGACTTTTCTGACTATTATTGTACGTCAAGCTTAACAGGGTTAAAATAAAAGAAATAAAGTTCTGTAGCTGTGCTGTTCTGACTGAGCTCCCTCAAGAGCCCAACCCATTCACCAACAGCAAGACCTGCTCTTCTCGCGAGATTTCCGTAACCCGTCACCCCCGGTCTCTCTGGCAGAGTTCCGTCTTCTTCCCTCACTGTGCGTTTCATTCCACACTGACCTGACCCTGCCAAAGCGAAACCAGCAGACGTGCCGCCTACAACCGGGCCGGAGCCGCAGTCCACAGCGCTTCCCCTTCAGGAACGCCTTTACATCCTGACAATAACAATAACCGCGAGGACACCACCGCAGGTACGTGAAGCAGCGGCTTTATACACAGATAGTGAAGTGAAGCGCGAGTGAATGGAGCAGATCACACGGGGCCTAGCGCACTTCTCGCTCCGCAGATCCTTCATGCCATGCCGACGGAACACAGGCACCCTTGCTCAGGACAAGGGTGTGGATTTAAACCGTGAAGACCTGAGATTCTAGCTGTCGGTCGACCGTAAATATGTGCTTCGCATGGGGGTTTTAAACCTGCTGAACAAGCTGATGATGTCCAATCAATCCACGGCACGCCTCTCTATATACAGCTAAGCTAAGCTAGTAATACTAATCAGTGCGATAGAGCTGAAGATATGTTCTCATTTCCCTGCTGTTTTTCACATTACATGCTTGACTGGGCAGTCTCATGCTTCTGCTGCTGGTTATTTGGTCAGTCATATGAGGTGTCAGTCAGTTCCTTATTAAACGTCACGACCAACTTTAAATCTTTACTGGCATGAAGTAATTTCAGCGAGGGACTTTGCTCCTTGCCCCCACTTTATGTTGTCTTATCGTAGATCTCACAATGAAAATAATATATTGGTTTGTTTGAACTTGTCGCTGCCATTAGAGCCTGGTTTGATTTAAGTAGCCCTTCAGGGTTGCACACTTCCCTTGATGAAGCTAACGGAAAGGATTATCTGTCAGTAGTAGATGGGTGGCTTTAAATAGTCGCCATAAGTTAGCGCATGCGCACTGACCTGTCTTCTAAGAAACAGAAGGAAGCCTATATGCATCCCAGTCGTTAAAAGACCTCATGAAATCAGCAAATTGTTGCTTTTTAATCCGTCTTTTATCTATAGCATTTCTAAAAGTTCTACTATTTAGCAGGTTTAAAGTATACAGTAATTTATGATGAAAAAAATAACCCTAAAATATCTCTGACTCATTTAGACAGCAACTTTCAGGTTCCAGGAAGTAAAAACCCCATTCATTTTCTCCATAGGGGAATTGATTTTGAATGATAACATATAAACCTTTAAAGTCCTCAGGAATTGATTGGATCATTCTCATTAGCTATTGGTCTATGCCATGTGAGTGACAGGTTGTCCCGCCCTCGTGCCAGTAAACGCATCATCAGAGAAGAGATGAGCTGCAAGAGGGGAGGGGTTTTATTTTCATTAAAGATAACCAGGGCACATGAATTATAAAATAATGATAAATCATTTATAATAGATACGGTGATGTTTCATTAAAAAAAAATAAGAATTGTCCATTTTGATTTCATTGTGACTTTAAAGACAGACCTACTCCGTTAATTGATGTTATATCTTTCTGTTGAAGCAACTAGTCCTAATTATTTCAATTTATTTTTTAAATCATGTTTAACAGTGGAATTCCTGGACATACATTAGCCATTATTCTGCTAAAAAACTGAATCGAAACAAGTAAATCACATCAAAATAACTCTTCAATGCCCGCCCCACTGCTATGAAGCACTGCGAATAGCTTAATCAACCTACGCTATTATTCTACTGAAATGTTTTAGGGATGCACGATATGTCGGCCACCATATCGATATCGGCCGATATATGTTAATTTTTAATGTTATTGTTATCGGCCGATATATTAAAGCCTATAAATAATGGATTATTCCCTTCAGCTGAAACACTTCAGATACGCACTGGTGTTCGCCATGATGGTTTTGAATCACTTGAAAATATAATTGCATTCACTTAAAAAAGGAAAATACATTTAAGTGCAACTTGTGAAAGTGAATGAATGAAAGTCTGTCATATAGGCTACATAAAATTATAATGAGAAAATAATTATAATTGTGTGCTTGGGACATGGATTTAATGGTGAGACTTTTGTTTTTGTAATCAGGCTCTGAAAAAATTATATAAAAATTTGGATTTAGATTAATCTGCCAATATATTAGTTATCAGCTTTCAAATATAAATAATTATCGGTTATCGTATCGCCTAAAATGTTCATATCGGTGCATGCCATAGATCACACTATTTAATTTGAAGATAGCAAAAACATACTTGGCATTTACTGCAATTATATTTGGTTTGTTACATCATATTTACTAAATTAGAAATAAATAATTTGAAAATGAATTCTATGAACAATTGAACTTGATAAAAAAAGTTATACTTTAGATGGCAAATACTTGTTTCTGTTTCTATAATATTAACGCTATAATACTTTTTCGTTAAGAGAGATATTGTTTCTATATACATTACATCTTCAATAGTTTTATATATATATTTATCCATCATTTTATTTTGATTGTCGTTTGCAATCCTTCATTAAGGCCATTCGGGTTTGTCAGGTTGTGAAATGCTTTGTTGCCTCAGATCAACGTTTTTATGTTGTGATTCACCTCGTAGCTTGATTGGTTTGGTTTAAGGATATAACTCTGCAACAGACTTCTTTTTTTATCCCAATGTGAAAAGTACTTTTCTAACCAAGGCTACTGAAAAAGTGGGCAACACTATTGCACCCAGGGGTGTGTACACATTTCTGTCCTATCAGATGCTCTTAAGAATGAGAATGCCCCTCCCACTATTACCACTAGACAAGTATCTAATCATGGTCCTTCGCTGTGATGTTATTAAAAAGTATGATTTATGATGTTATTAAAACAAAAAGTATACACTCACCGGCCACTTTATTAGGTACACCTGTCCAACTGCTCGTTAACACTTAATTTCTAAGCAGCCAATCACATGGCGGCAACTCAGTGCATTTAGGCATGTAGACATGGTCAAGACAATCTCCTGCAGTTCAAACCGAGCATCAGTATGGGGAAGAAAGTTGATTTGAGTGACTTTGAACGTGGCATGATTGTTGGTGCCAGAAGGGCTGGTCTGAGTATTTCAGAAACTGCTAATCTACTGGGATTTTCACGCACAACCATCTCTAGGGTTTACAGAGAATGGTCCGAAAAAGAAAAAACATCCAGTGAGCGGCAGTTCTGTGGGCGGAAATGCCTTGTTGATGCCAGAGGTCAGAGGAGAATGGCCAGACTGGTTCGAGCTGATAGAAGGGCAACAGTGACTGAAATAACCACTCGTTACAACCGAGGTATGCAGCAAAGCATTTGTGAAGCCACAACACGCACAACCTTGAGGCGGATGGGCTACAACAGCAGAAGACTCCACCGGGTACCACTCATCTCCACTACAAATAGGAAAAAGAGGCTACAATTTGCAAGAGCTCACCAAAATTGAACAGTTGAAGACTGGAAAAATGTTGCCTGGTCTGATGAGTCTCGATTTCTGTTGAGACATTCAGATGTTAGAGTCAGAATTTGGCGTAAACAGAATGAGAACATGGAACCATCATGCCTTGTTACCACTGTGCAGGCTGGTGGTGGTGGTGTAATGGTGTGGGGGATGTTTTCCTGGCACACTTTAGGCCCCTTAGTGCCAATTGGGCATCGTTTAAATGCCACGGCCTACCTGAGCATTGTTTCTGACCATGTTCATCCCTTTATGGCCACCATGTACCCATCCTCTGATGGCTACTTCCACCATGTCACAAAGCTCTAATCATTTCAAATTGGTTTCTTGAACATGACAATGAGTTCACTGTACTAAAATGGCCTCCACAGTCACCAGATCTCAACCCAATAGAACATCTTTGGGATGTGGTGGAACGGGAGATTCGCATCATGGATGTGCAGCCGACAAATCTGCGGCAACTGTGTGATGCCATCATGTCAATATGGACCAAACTCCCTGAGGAATGCTTCCAGCACCTTGTTGAATCTATGCCACGAAGAATTGAGGCAGTTCTGAAGGCAAAAGGGGGTCCAACCCGTTACTAGCATGGGGTACCTAATAAAGTGGCCGGTGAGTGTATGTCCAGCCCCAACTTCCTTATACAAAATGTTATTACAGTAAAGAAAATAGTGTTCTTGGGGCATTTTGTAGATACTGTTAGAGAACTTTGTTTATATTGGTGT